AAAAAAAAAAAAAGATAACTTGAATTTAGACCGAGAATGGTGGCTCACACCTGTAATCCCAGTACTTTGGGAACGTTGAGGCAAAAGGATTGCCTGAGCCCAGCAGGCTGAGACTGTGAGTATGCCACTGCACTCCAGCAGTGAGACTCTGACCCCAAAAAAAAAGATAACTTGGGCTGGGTTCGGTGGCTCAGCCTGTAATCCCAGCACTTCGGAAGGTTGAGGCGAGTGGATTGCCTGAGCCCATGGGTTCGAGACCAGCCCAGGCAACATGGTGAGACCTCGTCTGTACAATAAATTTTAAAAATTAGCCGGGCATGGTAGCGCATACCTGTAGTTCTGGGACTCGGAAGACTGAGGCAGAAGAATCGCTGGAGCCCAATATGTTGATACTGGGGTGGCTGTGAGTGTGCCACTGCACTCCAGCCTGGGCAACAGAGTGAATCTCCAACTCAAAAAAAAAATAAGATAACTTGAATTTGTGTGGCAGAAAGTCTCTGTTTCTATACATTTTATATGCAGTCATAACATTTGGAGCACTTTGGGACTGGGAACTTAGAGCTTTCTCTTTGAATGTATGGAGAGCACAGGTCCTGGAGAAGCTGGAGCCTAACCCCTCTTGTGCTCCTTAGGATGGAGTCCACAGAGAAGTGTGAAGCCATCATCACCCACTTTAATGGAAAATATATTAAGACACCCCCTGGAGTACAAGGTGAGGCATCTGGGAATCAGGCTGAGAGGGTCATAGGTTGTTACTGCCAGTGAAGATTCTGGCAGAGTTTTGCATGAGTATGCGTGGGTGAAATGAGGTAGGACTCAGCTGCCCATCTGCTTTCTGTCTTGGCAGCCCCAGCTGATCCCTTGCTTTGCAAATTTGCTGATGGTGGGCCAAAGAAACGACAAAACCATGGAAAGTTTGTGCAAAATGGACGGGCCTGGCCAAGGAATGGAGACATGGTAAGAGTACCTCCGAGAAGACAGGAATGCTAGGACAAGATGAAAATGGCCTGATTTCTGTGAGCTGAAGTGACAAGATTGATAGCTGTAGCGTGTAACCAAGAGATGCTAGCTGTTAACATTCTGATCCGTGTGGATCTTGAGTGGGATTTTACAGTCTATGCAGTGAGAAAAACTCTGGAACAGCTGGAGTAGGACTTGTCCAGACTTTAATCCGTTGAACTAAATACATTCCCAGCCTTGGCACTTTGGACTTGCTTCTGTTCTCACCCAAGGGGCTCACAATGTGAGTGCTGTGTTCTTTCTTTATAGGGTGGTATGGCCTTGACCTATGACCCCGCCGCAGCTCTTCAGAATGGGTAAGGGTGTTTTATATAATTAGGCCTCCTGAAAATGGCAGTGACCTGTGTCCAAGCACTTGGATGGTTCATCTTGATTTTCAAATAGCAGTTAGTGGGAAAGTGGCTGTGCTTATCAGTTGATCAGTCAGGGCCCTAACCTCTGGTTCCCTGTGACTTTGATCAGCCGGGGCCCTAACCTCTGGTTTCCTGTGACTTGGCACTGATTGAAGCTCCTTCCTACAGGTTTTACCCAGCCCCTTACAACATCACTCCCAGCAGGATGCTTGCTCAGTCTGCACTCTCCCCATACCTTCCATCTCCTGTGTCTTCGTATCAGGTGTGTTCATGTCTGAAAAGGGGTATGATGGTTTTCCTTACTGTTATGTTTTAGGTGAAGGAATATAAGGCTAGAAACAACTTGTTTTTCTGTTTTTCCTTTATACATGCTTCACACAATTTTACATAAAAGCTTATAATGTGATCTGTGTGTGGTTTTATTTTGTGTGTGTGTGTGTGTGTGTGTGTGTGTGTGTGTGTGTGTCTCATGCCTATAATCCCAACACTTTGATAGGTGGAGACAAGTGGATTGCCTAAGTCCCGGGATTCGAGACCAGCCTAAGCAACTTGGTGCGACCTTGTCTCTACAATAAATCAAAAAAATTAGCTCGGTGTGATGGTGTGTGCCTATGGTTCTAGCTACTTGGAAGACTGAGGCGGAAGGGTCACCTGAGCCCAACAGGCTGAGGCTGTGGCCATGAGTGTGCCACTATACTCCAACTTGGGTGACAGAGTGAGACTCTTAAAAAAATTTCCTACTATGTAACATTTTTCATATACATATGTGTGTGGGCTCAGTCAGTCCTTCCTTCCAAGTAGCTGAAACTATAGGTGCGTGCCACCACACCCAGCTTATTTATTTATTTATTTATTTATTTTTAAATTTATTTATTTTTTTGAGTTGGAGTCTCACTCTGTCGCCCAGACTGGAGTGCAGTGGTCGCTCACGGCCACCACAGCCTCAACCTACTGGGCTCTGGCAATCCTTCCCCTCAGCTTTCCAAGTAGCTGGAACTACAGGTGCACGCTACCATGCCCGGCTAATTTTTTGATTTATTGTAGAGATGAGGTCTCGCCAAGTTGCCCAGGCGAGTCTCAAACCCGCAGGCTCAGGCAATCCTCTCACTTCAGCCTCCCAAGTCACGGGATTACAGGCTGAGCCACCGAGCCTGGCTAATTTTTTTATTTTTTGTAGAGACAAGGTCTTGCTATGTTGCTTAGCTTGTCTTGAACTCCTAGGCTCAAGCAGTCCTTCCACTTTGGCCTCCCAAAGTGCTGGGATTATAGGAATTGTTTATATTTTTAAATGTGAATATATACATATGTACAGGATCTGGGGAGTTTTATTTTACAGAAGTAGAATCACATTAAATGTTTTTGTTTTTGTTTTTGTTTTTTTGAGTCAGTCTCACTCTGTCACCCAGGCTGGATGGAATGCAGTGGCACACTCATGGCCACCGCAGCCTCAACCTACTAGACTCAGATGATCCTTCTGCCTCAGCCTTCCAAGTTGCTGGAACTACAGTCGTGCACCACCACATCCAGCAAATTTTTAAAAATTTATTGTACAGATGAGGTCTCACCATGATGCCCAAGCTGGTCTCAAACCCATGGGCTCAAGCAATCCTCTTGCCTTTACCTTCCAAAGTACTGGGATTACAGGCAGGAGCCACCGTGCCAGACTAAATGTTTTTTACATTTCATTCTTCTCACTCAGCAGTGGCTTAGAGCATTGGTTCTCAAAGTGTTGTTCCTGGGCCAGGAGTATAAGTACCTGAGAATTTTTAGAAAACAGTTTTGGACTCCAATTAGAAACTCTGAGGTTGGGGCCTAGCAATCTGGGTTTCAAGAAGTCCTCAAGGTGATTCTATTACAGCCAATGTTGAGATCTTCTGTCTAATTATATCTTCTTTTAGTGGTTGCATCATATCCCATGCTACAGGTATACTGGAATTCTTCTTCTTCTTCTTCCTCTTCTACTTTTTTCTTTGAGTCAGAGTTTCACTGTGTCTCCCAGGCTAGAGTATGGTGGTATGATCACAGCTCACCCCAGCCTCAACCTCCTGGACTCAGGCGACCCTCCCACTTCATCCTCCTGAGTAGCTGAGTCCTCCTCACCTCGTCCTCCCAAAGCCCTAGGATTACAGGGGTGAGCCATTGTGCCTAGCTGTACACTAGAATTCTTTAGCTGTACCCCAGTGAAATGTATTCACTTAGATTTCAGTTTTTTGCTGCTACAAATAATACTGCAGTAAACATCCTTGTGCCAGATTTTTACATATGAGCGTTTTTATCTCCAAGAGCTAGAGTTGCAGGCGTGGGATTGCTGGGTTCGATAGTGCGTGAATTTCCAGTTGTACAGATGTTGCAGATTGCTTTCCACAAAGGCTGTGTCCATATACATTTCCACCAGCCACGTGTGAGAGCACCCATTTCCCTCAACCATAGGTGTTAATGCTCTTAACATTTTTCCTGTCTTGATGAATGTAAAGCACATTGTTATTTTAATTTGCAATACTCTGATTATAGGTGAATTTAAACATTTTTTGTTTGTCATCTTTTGATTTGCTCTTCTCTAGTTGCTACTCATATGGTTTGTCCATTTTCTATCATTATTTGTCCCTTTCCCATTAACTAATAAAAATACTATATGGCCGAGCATGGCAGCTTGCACCAGTAATGCCAACAGTTTGTGAGGCCAAGGTGGGAGAATTGCTTGAGATCAGAAGTTCAAGACCAGACTGGGTGAGACCCTGTCTATGAAAAATTAGCTGGGTCTGTTGGCATGTGCCTATAGTCCCACCTAGTCAGGGCACTGAGACAGAAGGATTGCTTGGGCCCATTAATTCGAGGCTGCAGTGAACTATTTGTGCCACTCAGCCTGGGTGACAGAATGAGACCATATCTCCAAGACAAACAAAAAAACCTATATATACTATTAATATGAAGCTTATGAATGTTATCTGTAACAGTTTTGTCGGTTGACTTTGTGGTCCTCAAATTTTAGCTGTGTGTCAGAATCCCTTGGAAAGCTTGTTAAAACCTGGGTTGCTGGCCACCACACTCAGAGTGTCTGATTTAGTAATTGTTAGGTAGAAAGCAAGAATCTGCACTTCTAACATGTTCCCAGGTGACACTGCTGCCAGTCCAGGGCCCATATAGTGGGAAGCACTAGTTTTTGCCATATAAAATTTTTAAATTAGTATGTAATTAAACATATCTTTTTCTTTTGTAGCTTTTTAATTTCCTGTCTTAATTTTTTTCAGAATAGAAAATATAGTTGATTTAGAAAATAGACTAGAGAGAGAGAGAAAAGGGGGATCCATCTCCCCCAGAAGCGGGAGGGGGCCAGAGCTTACAGAGAAGCTTGGCCTCCTGTCTTAATTTAAAAGTATAAAAGTTAAAAATTTGGCCGGGCTCAGTGGCTCAGCCTGTAATCCCAGCACTTTGGGAGGCCGAGGCAAGTGGATTGCCTGAGCCCGCAAGTTCAAGACCAGCCCAGGCAACTTGGCGAGACCTCGTTTCTACAATAAATCAAAAATTAGCTGGGCGTGGTAGTGCGTGCCTATAGTTCCAGCTACTTGGAAGGCTGAGGCAGAAGGATTGCCAGAGCCCAGAAGGTTCAGGCTACGGTGGCTGGGAGCATGCCACTGCACTCCAGTCTGGGCAATAATTATTTTTAAAAAAATTAAAAATGTGTGTAGTTAAATAATTTTTCTTTTTCTTCTATAACTTTTGAATTTTTTGTCTTTTTTTCTTTTTTGGTAGAGATAGCTTCTTGCTGTATTGCCCAGGCTGGAGTACAGTGGCACAATTACAGCTTCACTGCAGCCTTACTCCTGGGCTCAAGCAATGCTCCTACCTCAGCCTCCCAAGTAGCTGCTATAGGCACACACTATCACACCTGGCTAATTAAAAAAAATTTTTTTTTTGCAGAAACAGGGTCTTGCTTGTTACCCAGGCTGGTCTCAAGCTCCTGGGCTCAAGAGATCCTTCTCGACCCCGCGAAGTGCTGGGATTATAGGCATGAGTCACTGAGCCCAGCTTGAATTTCTTGTCTTAATTTTAAAACTCTTCCCATTGGATGCCAGTCACCTGGGAGGAAGAATAAAAAAGTTTTTTAAAAATCTAAAACCAGTCTCTGTACTGTGTGTTTGGTCTCTAATATTTTATTTTATTGTTTTACACTTTAATGTGTAATGATTAGAAATTTATTTTTGAATATGACATATGATAGGAGTTGTGGCTGGATGCGGTGGCTCATGCCTATAATCCCAGCACTTTGGGAGGCCGAGGTGAGAGGATTGCCTGAGCTCTTGGGTTTAAGACCAGCCTGGGCAAATTGGCAAGACCTCATCTCTACAATAAATCAAAAAATTAGCCAAGTGTGGTGGCGCATGCCTGTAGTTCCACCTACTTGGAAGGCTGGGGCAGAAAGATCACCTGAGCCCAGCAGGTTGAGGCTGTGGTGGCCGTGAGCGTGCCACTGCACTCCAGCCTGGGTACAGAGTGAGACTCCAACTAAAAAAAAAAGATAGGAGTTGTGTTTTCTTTCAGAATGTTAACCAGGGGTCCTCGCACCAACTTATTAAATAATCCACTACTGAGCACAGTGGCTCATGCCTATAATCGCAGCACTTTGGGAGGCTGAGGTGAGAGGATTGCCTGAGTCCACGGGTTCAAGACCAGTCTGGGCAACATGGCGAGACCTCACCTCTACAGTAAATCAAAAAAATTAGCCAGGCATGGTGGCGCATGTCTGTAGTCCCAGCTACTTGGAAGGCTGAGGTGGAAGGATTGCCTGAGCCCAGCAGGTCAAGGCTGCAGTGGTGGTGAACATGCCTGGGCTACAGAGTGAGACTCCAACTCAAAAAAATAAAAAAATAAAAATAATAATCCAGCCGGGCTCGGTGGCTCAGCCTGTAATCCCGCGCCTTTGGGAGGCTGAGGTGAGTGGATTGCCTGAGCCCGCGGGTTCGAGACCCGCCTGGGCAGCGAGACCTCATCTCTACAATAAATCAAAAAATCAGCCGAGCATGGTAGCGCATGCCTATAATTCGGCTACTTGGAAGGCTGAGGTGGAAGGATCGCCGGAGCCCAGCAGGTCGAGGCTGCGGTGGCCGGGAGCGGCCACTGCACTCCAGTCTAGGCGACAGAGTGAGACTCCAACTCAAAAAAAAAGACTCTTCTTCCAAATAAAGTAACAATAATAAAAAAATAAAAAATAAAAAAATAATCCAACTTTTTCCCGCTGAATTGAAATGCCCTAGTAACCCATAATAACCCATAATACAGTTTCTGTGTCCTTAGATTTGTCTATTCTGGACATTTCATAGAAGTAAAATTGTACAATATATAGTCTTTTGTGTCTAGCTTCTTTCACTTCCTTCAAGGCTTGTCCATGTTGTAGCCTGTATCAGTACTTCACTCTTTTTTATGACTGAGTAATATTCCACTGTATGGATAGACTTGTCTGTCCATTTATCAGTTGATGGTCATGTAAGTTGTTTCCACCTTTTGACTATTATGAATAACACTACTATGAACATTCCTATACAGGTTTTTGTGTAGACATGTTTTCATTTCACTTGGTTGTAATTGTAGGAGTGGAATGTTTAGCTTTTTGAGAAACTGCCAGTGTTTTCCAGGGTGACTGCACTATTTTACACTTCTGCCAGCAGTGTCAAACACTTGTTATTCTGTGCTTTCAATTATAGCCATCCTAGTGAATATGAAGTAGTAAGTATCCCATCATGTTTTGTATTTCCATTTGAGTCTCTTTCATGTGCTTATTTGGCCATTTCTATATCACCTTAGAGAAATGTATATCCAGATCTTTTGCCCATTTTTATTTTTTTGAGTTGGAGTTTCACTGCTGCCCAGGAGTTTCACTGCTGCCCAGTACAGTGGTATGCTCCTGGCCACCGTAGCCTTGACCTGCTGAGCCCAGGTGATCCTTCTGCCTCAGCCTTCCAAATAGTCGGAACTACAGGCACGTGCTACCACTCCTGGCTAATGTTTCTGATTTATTGTAGAGACAAGGTCTCGCCAAGTTGCCCAGGCTGGTCTCGAACCTGCAGGCTCAGGCAATCCTCTTGCATCGGCCTCCCAAAGTGCTGGGATTACAGACTGATCCACTGAGCCCGCCCTACTGATATTTTTTAAACAGTTAGTTTAAACAATTGTTTTAGAGACAGGGTCTCCCTCTGTCACCCAGGCTGGAGTGCAGTGGTGCGATTATAGCTCACTGCAGCCTCGAACTCTGAGCTCGAGCTATCCTCCTGCCTAATCTCCTGAGTAGCTGGAACTACAGACACATGCCACCATGCTCAACTAATTTTTTAAGTTTTTGGTAGAGACAAGGTCTTGCTAGGTTGCCCAGACTTGTCTTAAACTCCTAGCCTCAAATGATCCTCTCACTGTGGCCTCTCAAAGTGCTGGGATTACAGACTTGAGCCACTGCTCCCAGCCAACAGTTTATTCTTAATATTTCTATTTTCAGAGTCAGGCATTCCAACTTTTTTTGGACTTTGCTAAAAATTATCAGATCATTAGACTGAACAATCGTTTCTAGGCAATTAACATTTTTTGTTGGTTTTTGCTTACATTAGAGAGTGACTCAGACGTCTCCACTACAAGTACCTAACCCATCTTGGATGCACCACCAGTCATACCTCATGCAACCTTCAGTGAGTGTTCAGAAGTGGGCAGAAGCCAAAGAGGGACTTTGATGTAAAGAAAACAATGGGCTTTGATGACAGGAGATATGGGTGTGAATTCTGGCTCAGTCCCTTGTACAACCCAGCTATGAGAACCTAAAGTCTGTGAGTCTGTTACTTTTTTTTTTTTTTTGAATCAGAGTCTCACTCCATCCCCCAGGCTGGAGTGCAGTGGCACACTCACAGCTACCAGAGCGTCAACCTGCCGGGCTCCGGTAATCCTTCTGCCTCAGTCTTCCAGGTAGCTGGAACTACAGGCGTGAGCTAGCACGCCTAGCTAATTTTTTTTTTTTTGAGTTGGAGTCTCACTCCGTCGCCCAGACTGGAGTGCAGTGGCTGCTCCCGGCCACCGCAGCCTCGACCTGCCGGGCTCCGGTAATCCTTCTGCCTCAGCCTTCCAAGTAGCTGGAACTACAGGCGCGTGCTACCACGCCCGGCTGAATTTTGATTTATTGTAGAGATGAGGTCTCGCCAAGTTGCCCAGACGGGTCTTGAACCCGCGGGCTCAGGCAATCCACTCACCTCAGCCTCCCAAAGCACTGGGATTACAGGCTGAGCCACCAAGCCTGGCTCTAATTTTTTATTTATTGTAGAAACGAGGTCTTGTCAAGTTGCCTGGGCTAGTCTCAAACCTGTGGGCTCAGGCAGTGTACTCACCTCGGCCTCCCAAAGTGCTGGAATTACAGGCTGAGCCACTGAGCCCGGCCAAGTGCCTGTTCCTGTTGCATAGCTGGGTTGCTGATCACCTGTCATTTCCCAGGATTCTTAAATGTCTGTCTTCAGTGGTCCTGATAGCCATCAGTCTACTGCTTTAAGCAGCCTCAGAGGATGCTGCCAACTAACTCTGTCCTTTGTTGCTGCCTCAGGGTTCAGTTCTGACACCAGGGATGGAGCACCCCATATCTCTCCAGCCTGCCTCCATGATGGGACCCCTCACCCAGCAACTAGGCCACCTTTCCATCAGCAGCACAGGCACGGTAAAGCAGGATATTTCTGATTTTAAATAACTACAGAGGCCAGGGATGGTGGTTCACACCTATAATCCCAGTGAGACAGGAGATAGCTAGAGAAATGCTAGGCAGACAGACAAGGTGGGTCCTCCAGTAACAATGTAACAAACTTCCAGCAGACCCCTTAGGCTGATACATTCATGTTGGTAAGCAAACTCCCTGCTAGCTTCTCAAGCTAGAGTTTAAGTACTCACTACTGGGATAGAAAAATGACCAATCAGTTCACTGCCAAGTACCAACCAATCGGCTCAGTCTTAGGGCTATATAAGCACCAGGTTTCAGCTCTAAAGCGACAACTGCCTCAAATCTCCTCCCACTGTGAGAGCTTTTCTGTCCTCTTAGTAAATCCTGCTTTTTCACTCACTTTCCGGCTGTCTGTGGCCCTCATTCTTCCTGGGCATGAGACGAGAACCTCAACCTAAAGCGCTGCAGAAGATCATCGAAGAGTCTGCATCCCAGAGGCTGGCTTGCCAGCCAACTGAGCCAACAGAACTGGGAGAGCTGCTGGAAGAAGGCAACTCTGAAGCTGAGAGACTCTTGGGGCTGGGCTTGTCAGCCCACTGAATCAGCAACACGCTCAGGGTTTGGTTTGCCAGCCCATTAGAGCTGACATTTCTGGGGCTAGGTTTACCGCCCCTTGAGCTGACCCTCTCTGGGGCTCAGCTGGCCGCCCGTTGAGCTGACACTCTTGAAGCCCAGGCTGACCTGAAAAATCTGTATCACCAGCACTTTGGGAGGCTGAGGCGAGAGGATTCCTTGAGACCAAGAGTTCAAGACAAGCTTGGGCAACAGAGCAAAACGTCATCTCTACACACACACATACAAAATTAGCTGGGCATGGTGGTGAGCGCCTGTAGTCCCAGCTGCTCAGAAGGCTGAGGTGGGAGGATGGCTTGAGCCCAGGACTTTGAGGTTACATTTAGCTGTGTTCTCACCACTGTTCTCCAGCCCGGGTGACAGAGCAAGACCTTGTTTCAAAACAAACAAAAAAAACACACAAAAAACAACTCCTAACAGAGCAAGGAATATCTGTATGATAAGCTTCAGCATAAATAATTTATGAATGCTTATGAATGATGATGGTAGAATCACTTACGTGTCAGTGAGGGCACACTCAGAATAGGACATAAACTCAAAATCCATGAGCCAGGAATACAGCCATTCTGCTCCCAGCCTACCCTTTCTAACTGATTTCTACTAATGAAACTAAATGAATCATGTTTCTGTCTGCATATTAGTTTATCTGAGGTAAGCACATTTCCTAGAAATCCTTATCAAAATGGTAACAGGAAGAAGGGATGGAGTTCACTGGTTTCTTTTAGACATGCAGCATTCTGATTTGCACAGGAGAGCTTAAGGGCAGAGAAAGCAGTGTTTTGAGGAAAAGCAGGAGACTGTCAGGAAAGAGGCGGAAAGCCAGTCATGTTGGCAGAAGTCTCTCTAAGCCTGAAGTGCTTTGAAGAAGCCAATGCTCAAATCAGTTAAATTAGACTCTCTGGGGGTAGAACACGGGCATCAGTATTTTCTAAAGCTCCTCATCTGCTTTAAACATGGCCTGGAATCACTGCTCTGAGCCTGCTGATGTGTTTCCTCCTAGTATATGCCAGCAGCAGCAGCTGTGCAAGGAGCTTACATCTCCCAGTACACCCCTGTGCCTTCTTCCGGTGTTTCAGTTGAGGTAAGAACATTTTCGTGTCTTTGAACTGAAGATGGGAAAATGCACAGAGGCAGATGTTCCCCTCATCAGGTCTTTCTCAGGGAAGCCGTGTCTGTGCTCACAGATAGTGGTGGGTAATGAAGATCGCAGGAGGGTGTGTACACTCACGCTGAAACTGGAGCCATGCAGAGATCAGCATGGCTCCTGTGCAAGCACGGCATGAGTTTTTGAAGCGGTCCCTATTTTTAAAAAAAGAATGTAGAAAGGAAAGACTTAGTTTGTGCTCATGGCTGAGGCCTTCCCTCACATTTGGCCAGCCCGTGGTTAATACCAGGATGCCGCCTTGTACTGACTGGTATATCTCGGGAAGAGGACAGGCTGCTCTAAACGCTGGGGAAATGGTGCTGTGTGAGCGGGCACTCCAGTGTGTGGAGAGTGGGCCGGTTGGGGAGGGCACTCAGCTTCATGTGGGTTTTAGCTCGGCTGCTATAGTGGGAGGTGAGGAAAGGAACACACGAGATGACTCTCCTCCTTGGCTTGGTACAGGAGAGCAGCGGCCAGCAGAGCCAAGTCGCGGTGGACACGCCCTCAGACCATGGGGTCTATTCTTTCCAGTTCAACAAGTAACCATGGGTAAGAGTCCCATGCGAAGGTGGGGTGTGCTGAGCTGGCAGAAAGCAGCTCAGCCTCGCCTGAGTTGGGTTCTCACGTCAATCATGTCTCCTCCCCACTCTCTCTGGCCTGTGCCTTCCTTAGGATCCCCATCTTTGCTGAATAGAAATGAATTCTCGGAGATACTGATGCTCCAGAGGACTCCAGAGGACTCACCGGGAATGCAGACGTCTGTCGGTCTTGCTAAGGACTAACACTTAGCCATTGAGTTTTACAGGCCTGGACCTGGAAAAAGAAATCCCTACATTCCTGCCCTTTGCTGTTTCTCCATTGCTGATGGAGCCTGGGGGAACCGTCACTTTTTGTGTGTGCTACATTCAAGGAGATCAAAAAAAACTTTTTTTCTTTTGCAAAGAAAGTTTTTTGTTTGTTTTTAACTGCAATGTACTCTTTTTCTATCCCAAAGAAACATGGTGGCTGGAGCTTCTTATATATATGGAAAACAGTTTTTGATGTATTGGAATTTGGAGAGGCTTTAAAAAAAAAACAATTTGTAATTATTTCCTTAAAAAACAGAAAGATGTGGTGTTAGAACACTGATGAAGGAGCCCCACTTTGGTTTTGGACTTATTTTGATGTGTGTATGTGTTTAAGAAAACATGCAAACTTTTAACATTGTGTTTTTTAATGGTCACAGCTCACATACCCATCTCCTTTCTACCCATGTTATGCCTTCTTTCTCTGATCCATATTATTCTTTATCTCTTTTCCATACAGTTGAGCCTGGCTACTTTGCCTTTTTACAGTTTTTAATTTTGTGGATTTCTTTGTGAATGAAATTTCTTTTTTTTTTTTTTTGAGTTGGAGTCTCACTGTCGCCCAGACTGGAGTGCAGTGGCTGCTCCCGGCCACCACAGCCTCGACCTGCTGGGCTCCAGCGATCCTTCCGCCTCAGCCTTCCCAGTAGCTGGAATTACAGGCATGCGCTACCACGCCCGGCTGATTTTTTGATTTATTGTAGAGATGAGGTCTCGCTGCCCAGGCAGCAAACCCGCGGGCTCAGGCAATCCACCCACCTCAGCCTCCCAAAGGCGTGGGATTACAGGCTGAGCCACCGAGCCCGGCTGTGAATGAAATTTCATATGGATTTTGGGGGAACTGGGCAAGGAACAAGATAGAACACTAAGCAGGCCATGGAAGTGGCTTCCTTTTTGCCCTGCCACATCCCGGGAGAAAAAAAAAACTAGACTTTGGCTTCAGGAAGCAGAGATATGACCTAGGCTCATTAAAGAGGCAATCACGCCACCCTTGGAAGCCACTCTTGAGCCAAATTTGATTGAAGACTAGGCCTTCCCTGGCAAGTTCCAGAAGATGGACTTACTGACTTCTGACCAGCGCTTCTCCCTGCTGAGGCCAGCACCATCCAACAAAGTGTCTTTTCCAGCTGCAGCTTTGTGGCAGTGCCTGCTGTCCTGCCTCCTGGAGGATCTTCTTTTCTGCCCCAGGTCTCACGGTCCCCCTTCCCTTTCGCACGTCGCTGTGCTCAGAGCCCTTGCAGCCCTGACCTGGCTGAGTCCACACAGGCCCTTTCCCCACCATGGAGTATCCAGTGCTTCACCTGCAGGCCAGTGGTTCTCAACCAGGGCGTTTTGTCCACAGAGGCTGTTGACAACACCTGGGGACCCTCTTGCTTGCCAGGCCTGGGGTGGGAGTGTGTGTGCTACGGGCATCTGGGGGCTGGGAGCCAGGAATGCTGCTAAACATCCTACAGTGCACAGGCTGTCCCACCACCCCAGCAAAGAATGAACTGACTCAGAGCGTCAGCTTTGCCAATACTGGGACCTTGGCATGGACAGTGCTGTCCTTGCCGCCTGGGACAAGGCACATTCCCTACCCCAGCCCTGGATGCACAGTGCCTTTTGACATGCCTGCCACTGGCTGGGAGCAGCTAACCCCGGATCCTTGAGTTCTCCTCAGGCTTTAACCTTTGACACTTCTGCCCATGGCAAAGCTGTCCTGGAAAGGCTTCTGGCTGCTGTGCACACGCCAGACACACACACACCCTCAGAAGGTCCGAAGTGGGCGCTGCTTGTGTGTGTGCTGTGCAAAGGGGAAGGACTGAGCTCTCTGTACCTGTCCAGAGTGACCTGCCCTGCCCTGGTGTGTTGGGCCCCTTTCTAGAGAACCAGGACATCAGAAATGACTCCTTCTTGTGGAAGGACAGCAGGGAGCTAGGATAGAAAAAGGCAGTAGGTGCAAGACCAGCCTGGGCAACTTGGCGAGACCTCGTCTCTACAATATCACAAAAATTAGCCAGGTGTGGTGGTGCATGCCTATGGTTCCAGTTACTTGGAAGGCTGAGGCGGAAGGATCACCTGAGCCCAGCAGGTCAATGCTGGGGTGGCCATGAGCTTGCCACTGCACTCTAGCCTGGGCACCAGTGAGACTCCGACTCAAAAAAAGAAAAAGGCAATAAATTCCAGCTCATTATTTATGAGGTCAGGAGTCCTTTTAAAAAGCCTGTGTCAGCCAGGCTCGGTGGCTCAGCCTGTAATCCCATGCCTTTGGGAGGCCGAGGTGAGTAGATTGCCTGAGCCCGCGGGTTCGAGACCCGCCTGG